TGACTTCGGGTTCTTAAGTTGAATCTGTATGTAAGTCAGAACTGGAGGTCAGTTTCAGCAGCGGCTGAATCTGGACGCCAGTTCTGACTTACATACAGATTCAACTTAAGAACAAACCTACAGTCCCTATCTTGTACGTAACCCGGGGACTGCCTGTACTAGGTGCACTGGTAAAATGAAGTCAGAAATGCAGAAATCAGCACTTCTGCAGCAATATCTACATAGGCTTCGCATATGAAATAATTTTCCTGTTTAACAGATGCCTAAATATTATTCCTTGTTGTTAAATATTTGTCATAACATATGCAGGTTGTGTGTCATGCATGATTATATTAGTGTGGGCACCATAATATATATATTTCTTTTCCTTCTGTGCTGTATGAACATTTCTCATTGAATTAAATTAAATCATTCTGACACGTCGGGAGATAAAGCTTTATTGTCTGTCTTGAATGTATTTATTGTATTGCTTTTGCCCCCCCTTGAAATCAAAGACTTCACTGACTTTCTGGAGTGAGTTTGAGCTGCATTAATGAATTAAAGACTCATTTAGATATAGAATGTGAACTTTGTTCTAAAGAAAAAAAAACTTTTATTCATCTGAACTTTATACAAAATTTTCACTCTGTCATATTACAGCTGAAAATGAGAGCACACCGATCCAACAATTATTAGAGCATTTCCTTCGTCAGCTACAAAGGTAGGTCTGTCTGTGATACAGACAGCTATCTAGATGGTAACTGATGCTTATTAACAAGCTGCTTTAGAACTTTCTAATTTGGTCTTCATTTTGGGATGGAACATTTAAAGATGGTCTACAGTTTAGTTTTAAACCATTGCTACCCTGTTAACAGAAACTATTCAAGACTAATTATATTTAGAAAAGAAGGAACTAGACGTTTCTGATCTCTTCAGTAGCTCGATTTTTGCTTTAGGGCCCGTTATGTACATTAATTACTTATTTTAGAGATTGAAAACAACAAACTTTTGTTCCATAACATGAAGTAATCTCTGGTAAAGGCTTGTAATTTATTCTCCTTCTGATTCAAATAAAAGCTCATATTTGATTAGTTGATAACTCACTAAGTAGGGGACTGGGTTTTTTTTTCCCCATTTAATAATTTTTTGTAAGATATCAGCTCAGCAGTACAGTCCAAGTCTTTGAAAAATCACTAGTAAAACCTATTTTTCTCTCTCAATTATAAAACTGTAAATAAACACTGAGACTGTTAATCCTGAAACGAGTTAAGATCACCACTCTAAATTAGGGATGTAAGTGACTAGCATAAGCTTTTTGGATAGTTGACTAATGATTCAACTAGTCACTCCTCTCCCCTTGCTGCCTCTATCAGAGAGAGGCAGCAAGCAGGGGAGCTGGTGCTGGGTACAGGAGAAGTAAAGGCACAGTGGGAAATGGCATGAGTGGGCTCTAACGCAGTCTTCGCTTCCATTGCTTCTGCTGCAATTCTGCTTTTGCAATGTACAAGAGCCTTACTGGAGCTCTTGTACGTTTCAAAGGCTCAGGTACCGCAGGAGGCAGGGGGCCAGTCCCCCTCTGGCCCTGTACTCCCTGCAGGGCTTCCACTTTTGAACTGTAGTCATCAACTATTCGATTAGTTAAATACAGGCAGTCCACCAGTTACGCGGATCTGACTTACGTCTGATCTGCAGTTACAAATGGGGTTTGCTGCCCGTCTCCCTGGTCTGCTGGAGACCAGCAGACCAGGGAGACGGGAAGCAAAGCCTCTGAGGACGCCGGCAGCGGGACAGCCGCGGCGCGTCTGGGCTGTCCGCTGCCCGCGTGCGC